GCTACTGCTACTGCTACTACTACTCGCTTGCCCATAGATTCTTGGTGCCGAATGGAACTATTCAGAGTTCTACATTAGCACGCTTCTGGTTGCAGAACGTAACCCACATGGCATGAGACCTTAAGCCTATGGATTCTTGACGAGCAGCATGCCGCCAAAATAGCCATGCCTCCTGCCTCAAAGTATAGATGTTTCGAAGAATGAGGGTTTTTGAAAGTTAGGGCAAATAGTCTCCGAAGATTCCTAGGGGACGCCAGCCCACTCACTTGCCCATAGATTCTTGGTGCTACCACCACGATCACGACGACCGCGAACGCGACAACGACGACTATACGACAACCGCGGCCGCGACCACGACCGCAATCACAACCACCACCACGACCACATTGACGACGTTGACGACGCTGCAGCTCACGTTGAAGCTGACGCTGAGGTGACGTTGACCTTGGCGTTGACGTGAACAAGGATGTGGACGTCGACGACGACGACAACCAAGGAAACTTTTACTGGTATTGCTAGTATTATTACTTCCTCTTTCTCTTCCTCCTCGCTCTTACTCTTACTATTACGAAAACTACTATTACTACTACTAGTACTACTAGCCCACACATCATGTTGAGGCGATTTCTTGTGACAGCCGTCCCCTAAGCACGTCCACCAGGAAGGGATGGCCATTGTTAACTTTTGCACGCACACTGCCATGAAGAAATTTCTTCATTCCTATATGCCCCTATTATCTACCCTATATGCCTTTGGACCTATATGATCCTATGCGATACATCTCCATAACCCTCGGGCACGTTTGCAGAAAGTTTTTTAGACTTGGATTCTTCGCATAGTTGTCAGACGGCTCGCAATTTTTCATTCCGATGCGTGTCCCGCTCAAACAACAAGCCAAATCGTGCCAACCCCAAATAATTCAAAAAGTCATGAACTTTTGCACCCGGCCGTAGCCCTAGCCATGATCACAGTCAGCCAGCATCCTTGCATTCAAAAGCTCTCAGCATTGAACCCTCAACTTATAGTCCCTTAACTAGCCCGTCAAGCTCACCCAGAAAGCACCGCCAACTGGACCCACCTTTGCGATTCGCCAGCAGAAATCAGGGCTGAATGCTGCAGTATAAGGTTCACAGTCATCTTGATGTATGCAGAAAAGCTGCACCTTTCTGCCTAGAGCGCCGTCGCAGAGATTACGTGGCATTTGTATGTTCAAGCTATTTTTTTTGCAATTCCCCAAAATTAAGTGTCGCCTAAACGCGTTTCATACGAACTGGCTTGAAAGAAACCCATCAGCATTTTCCGCGCCATTTGCTGCTTGCTGCAACCAGAACCAGGGCTGGCATCTGTACTTCAGGATTCGGGGCTGGCAGTTAAATACTTCCGCACGAATGTGCCGACCAGACCAAACACCAACACCCAAGCAAATCATCTTGGAGCGATTCCTTGTGATAATTCACGTTATAGGCATGTCCACACCGCTCACTGGAGGCCCAGCTGGAATTGGACAAGCTCCTCACGGAGGTCACGTGCTAAGGGTTTCGGGATTCGGTATATAAGCATTTGGCAAAACTGCTGCATTCGGGGTTATGGAACTATGAGAAGCCGCAGACGTGGCATCAGGTGTGTTGATTCAACGGGTAGCTTCTGAGCAATACCCAAGTACCAAGCCATGCCTCAAGCTGCATTTGCAGGTGCAGGCCATGCCCTCTCCCAGGGCTGAGAAGGCCATATCCTACCTTCAAAAATAGGATTCTTGCTGAGCTCCTACTAATTTCATACTTGTCAAATTATCAGCAAGCATTGTCCATACCTATCACATCGACGCGTGCTACCTGATGCCCCAGCCTCTTGACATGTTCCTATACCCGCCCAGGTTTTTGGCGGCGAGCGGCTGGCTTCCGGAGTGTTTGGAGGGTTTTGAGCGGCGAGCTGCTGGTCGAACGGCATCCTCACATGCTGGCCACGCTGTGCGCAAAATGACAACTCCTTCCTTCTTCTTTCGACCACCTTTGCGTGAGATAGCTCGCTGCATCACAAACTTGAATTAGCCCCACCTACATCAGACTTATCTTTCGGATCCAAAATTGGGTATACAGCATGCAGACGCATGCGGGCTCGTAAGGGATCCGAGATAGAAGTCACATTGTGCCCAAACACTCATCGACGGATTGGAACAGCAACAAGGAGCATGAATCAAGTTCAGCAATCAGAAGGTAATTATCCGCGGCAGCTGCACAACTTTCAAGCCCCAAAACCCAAGCCCCCCTACCATAGGCCCTATAACCTTTGACCATGCCTCTGAACATCCGCCTTGTGGCTCTTTTCGTAGCACGCCTGGGGCCCCGGCGAGTCAGTTGCCACATTCCCTACGTCTTCCTGATCATGTGGCAAGCTGGAGGCACTTGGGTTTCCAGCAAGTTGGGCGGAAACTGGGTTTTGCTTTGGGCATTTTTTCGGCTACATGTAAGACAAGCGCCCAGCGGGGAGAATTCGCCAGAGGCCTGTTTACGACAGTTTTCACAGAAGCTAACGCAGTTGTTGAGGACAAGATGTGTTTTACTCGATGATTCGTAGTTTGGCTTTTTCCAGGGGAGGCATGCATTTTGGGAATGATGTCATGGGAAACATTCCATATTCAACAGAGAGAGAGAGAGATATATAAATATATATATATATATATATTTATTTATTTATTTATACATCTGCACTTGCATGTGCTACTCCCACATCCTTCGCATTTGATATTTATCACAGATTGTCACTTCAGGGACTGCTATTGCAGAAGATATATGTCCACGAAGGAGAAGTTTAGAACGATTACAGAAGTTCATAGTAAAGACCTGCAGGGTTTATGCCGTTTAGTCGTATGTGTAGACGAGCTTCTTTTCAACCATTCATCAAAGCTTGGATAAATCTTGAGGTTATGCTGAACAAGGATGATGGTAACATCCTACGTAGCTATTGGGTTGTCTTCATCAGTCTGCCGCTATGCTACTTTGGGCAATATTTTCGGAATAGCACTGAAGACACTACGTTACAAGAACCTCTTTGTTTCTCGTGATTGTACTGAATTTTAGGGAATGTATGAAGGGTTTTGTTAGACATTATGCTAAGCCAGGCTGCCAGCTGGATTTACATAAAAACTGTATTTTGTGGTGCATGAGCTTTCTCTACCCCTAGGAGATACGTAGCAGAATCCTGACGAAAGTCCTAAAGTAATTTTCAACCTACTCACCAACATGATCCTGCGAGTTTCGCAAGGCCTTGAATATGGCCACTAGTCCAACCTTCTGCATATGGCGTGACATGACCCATGACATTTAAAAGCTCTAAGCAGACATGAGAGTTGAACGCTCAAAAGGATTTTTGATTGCACCCGTAGTGCTACCATGCTGCTAAATACCTTCAGGATAATCCGTAAAATCATCACCTACTGCGACCCTTCATGTTACCCCAGACGTTGCAAGTCATGTAATTTATAACCTAGCCTCTGGCAGGTATTGTGATAAGCCTTGATGTAGCCCATGTTACCTCCATATACATAGTGATGTATTCAAGCATGCTTGCAGCTTTATGGGGCATGCGACATAGCACTGAGTTCCCAAAGTCTCCAATCCCACCACATTGGGGAGGTCCTTATGCCCATACTTGTGGAAAGTGTAACTCACAATGCTGTAATTTGTTAGAATGTTAGAGCTGAAAGTTCCGTAGTTCCATAGTTTTGTAGCTAGGGTGGACCAGTTAAAAAACTCTGTGCAGTCATGGAATTTCAAAGTTCAATAATTCAATGCTATGCCTCTATGGGATTGTTATCGCCTGAAAAGGGAGTAGCTCCATTAGCTGCACATGCCTGTTTGGATCATGTCCTTTTCTGGGATGGAGCTGACAGTTACGAGCTCGGGAGCTTTCTGAGTAGTAGTCTTAAGCCATGCAGTTCCAGAACCTCCACCAGAATTCCACAGTTCGAAGGATGCTGTACTCCATAGTGTGGAATGCCGGAAACATGAAATTCTAAGCTTGACTCTTTCAAGCCGCATAAAATTTCCTGGCTACATAGGTCTGCGTTGTTCACAGCCGGGGGGGGGGGGTGTTCGCATGTAAAGTTCTGCTTGTTCCAGCGTAGAGCTACAAGGCTCACACATGCTGGGAGCAGAGTCTATTCTATGTACCTCCTGTATCATCCTCATGAACTCCCCATATGAGCTATAGTCTAAACGCCTGAAAGGGGTTATGTAGGGGATTATATACTGTAGAGGAGTACTATAGGGGTTATTAGTGGGACTGCTGGGGGTTTGCGGCAGGGGCCCAAATGACTACAAATAATGGAAAACCAGATGGATAAGAAAATGGAAAATGAAATGGAGATTTAGGAGTGTATAGTATAGGCTGCTTAATGTAGGGCCACAAATGAGTCACTACGTCATTTTCAAGGTCCGTTTAAGGCACCCCGGACCGTGTTTACTCATGGTCTTCAATAGGACAGCAACCTTGGTAATTGTTTAGGCTGCTACATTAGGCTCCAACTTACCTGTCTTCACCCTTAACCTTAAACCCTTGAAACCCCAAACGCTAAACATGAAATGCCTTTGAGCCTCCTCAAGCCCAAACTCGAGGGGAACAAGCACATGAAAACCTGAAATTCTCCACATGTTGAGCCCTGCCCGTGATACCTCTTGAACCTTCAAGCCTATAGCGTATGATCGCTTTCGGTCTCAACACTGGTTAGCCGCACGACCCAAATTTCAAGACCTTTGAGCTGACCAGAGTTGTGGCCTGTTGAAGGCCCTGTTGCCCGCCGATTGTGGCAACGCCATGCCGCGGGCAGCGTACGCGGCGTTTCAGGTGCATTTTGGTGGTTATGCGCCTGTAGGATGCAGGGTTCGGGATTACTTCAACCATAAGATTTAGGGAGAAGGCTTGCTTTCCGCAAGGTCATGCACAAACCATTACAGGCGGATGTCTGAACATTGCCAAGGCATGGTTGCCTTCTCCAGATTCAGACCGTGACCTTACTTGGGCTTGTGACTGCCTGTATATGTATATGTACTTCACTCATACCCATCGCGCAACAGACGGAATCCTTGACATGATGAAGAATTCCAAGGATGATACGCAGGTTGCGCGCTTAATCCCATACACTCCTGCATAACAATTATAACATTGTTCACACAAGAACCCTGGCACAACTCTGGTGAACTATGCCAGAAGCCCTGAAGTCCTGAAGCATTTGGAGGTGTCATCGTCGGGGGAGGCGTCACTGGCTGCGCCATGCTCTACAACCTTGCCCAGCGGGGTGTCAAGTGCGTTCTCTTTGAAAAGGCAGGTTTGGGGTCTAGGGTGGGCACGTGGGCATGCAGGATTCCAGGCTAAAGTGGCTTGGGGCTTAGGAATGTTTGGAATACAGGGTCAACCATTTAGGTTGAAGCCCGGCAGTGTTGACGTGCCCTCGAGGTTTGGACGCTTGATCCTAAAACAAGCAAAATCCTCATTTATTTGCACGTCCTACACCCTGGATTAAGCCCTTGCGTGCAGGCTGCAGCATTAGCCATGTTGATGAACACAAGTATGTTTGTGGGACAAGCCATCACCAGGGCCGTGTTGTTTCTTCGCCAATCCTGGTCAGGGTAACAGCACCATTTCAAATCTTCACTCGATCCGTAGCTCCAACCTCTCAACAGAAGACAAATTGAAACGTGAGCATTTGTAGAACCGCTTCACTTGGCGGATTCTAACATGGCACATCCGGTGCATACTGCGTATACAGGAACCCTTATATGAAAGGCCCTCGCTGGGAGCCACTTACCTTCAAACCTGAACCCTGGGAACTATAAGGCCTAAATCTCTGATCCCTGAACCGATTCCTATACCCTGATCCCGAAACCTTGAGCCCTGAAACCTATAAGCCATAAACCGAGAAAATACAAACAACTTGACCCCTAGACTAAGGGCTGCTTCCTAGACCCTGAGCCCAGCTGATGGCTAGGGCGAGCTCACCTGCGGGGCGACTTGGCACGCTGCAGGTCTAGTGACCCGCTTCCATGGAGGCCATATCAGTGAGTTTCACCATCTCATGTGGGAGTCCAATCATGAGGGATCCCTTTCGGGGGTGGATTGTGGCACTCTTGAGGGGGCATTACGGGGCGACATCTTGAAGATGCAAGGATATTGGGGTTGCAAGGTTTCGGTGTCTAAGGTTTAGAGTGTAAGGTTGCTTTCGGAAAAGGTATGGCTTGCGTTGCTGTCTGCTCCCCCAAGACCTCGGGATGAATTACACAACGAGTCATTGTTTGCCGCTGGTACCATTTCATTCGTATCCCTCTTAGTTTGGGTCTGCTTGCTGCTTTTGATGAGGGTGAGTGCTCGGCTGTTTCACCGCTTCTCTAGGCGTAACATTGTTCAGGTTTTTTTCTGAACAGCACAATGTCTGGTCGGCAACCTCATTGTAGAAATTATCTACCCCAATCAGCCGCGAAGAACGTAGCCGTAACCCTTGTTGAAGGGATCCGCAAGGCTCCAAGGAAGGACCCTCATTGTTGGAGAGCCCCTTCAAGTACCGTGTGGAGGTAACAACTTCCGCCTGTGGCATGATGAGGGCGTGAACCTCTTCACGCAGTGGCAGAATGAGGAAGGCAGGTTTCTTGCGGTCCATAGGCAGTCTAAATAGGAGTCTTTTAAGATACTTCAATCTAGAGGCAGTCTACACGGACGTTTATCAGAACGATGGCAAGATAATCCGAAAGAGGGACCCCTACAATCCTTCATAGTCCCATTCATCCCTAGGGAGTCGGTTCGGGTCCCTCTTCCAGGTGTTGTGCAACCTCAACTGCCTACCGCATACCATGATTTCGTGCTGAAATTCTAAGGCTCTGGGGTGTTCGTATATGGGGCTGGGGCAATTAGACTTGCGACCTTGTTTGGCGTGCCTGTAGCTCTGCTTATAACACTGCCACCAGGCTGCAAGTAAGAGGATGCCCCAAAGCAGGAACAGTTTCCAGATATTAGGCCTCCAACCCTGAAGGCACTCCACTCAGCTTCCACACGCCTGGCTCCATCCGGCTGATACCCAACGAGCTTGCTGGCTTACTACGGCATAGGCTTTTGTTGGGAACTGTCCGGCAAAAGCCTGAATTTAGTCCAAGCCCACGCAGGGGTGGTTGGGCCATCATTGCGTATCATTACATGTAGTGTTAGTGATTTTGCGAGAGCCAATGGCCTGCTTACAGGGAAGGTTCTGTGAGAATGCCGTTGGGACTGCAATGGCAGGTGCCTCCTGTTGACAAGCTGCCTGACTAGCTGGAACCAGTATGTAGAGGATTACTTGCTAGGTCTGGCTGACAGATCCGGGTGTAAGAAGCAATAGCAATGCTGATCATGATTGATTTCACCAGAATCTGGACGTGACAATTTTAATCCCTTCCTTTTCTGCGCCGAGCAGAAGCTCTCTCGTGTAGCGAATGGAATTCCAAAGTATCACCTAGAATCTAGAAAGGCGAATTTAAACGGATGTTTAGATTAATTAGCTGCACTGTGTGCATCCGAGGCAGTCATACATCGACGAGGCAACGAGTTGCCAAAATCTAGGGCGCTGCTGTATGAGAACAGCTGCGATGGTAAAAATAGCAGAAGCAGCAGCAGCCTTTGCATCTTTGGCTTAATGTTAGTCTCATATCAGAAGTCGCAGCTCTAACAGAAGCTGACGGTCGTGGTTTGGTGGTGGTGGCTGGCGATGGTGGTGCGGGTGGCAGCGGGCTTGGTGGTCTTCCTGCTGGTTGAGGAAGAGTAGCAGTTGTCATAGGTGCAGTAACTATGCTCCAAGTAGAGTCTTTACGGGCATGCGATGCAATCACATGTTTCATACCGGTAGGTATGGCATGGATGGCCTTGATTTCATTTCGCAGCGAAGCAGGTGCTTGGCTTCTTCTAAGCCCTCGGTGCCCCTAAACCCTAAGGCTGTAAGGCTTAACTACCGAATCATGAAAAGTGAAGTCAAGCGTAGGCAACCTCAGGAGTTGGAATTGTAATCTGATTGCATCCTCTCAATCTTCGACTTCAGGAAAGGCCTCAGCCTAATGAGCTACATCTGAAATTGCAAGAGAGGGCTACATTGCAGAGGGATTGCAACGGGGGTTGGGGTCAGTTTCCCTTGGAAGTCATGGTCTGCAGCGGCTACAGCTTGGCGTTTGTTGAAGGGGTTCCATGAATTTCCTGGCTGGCCACATCTCGTCTTGAGAGGCTAGATACCAAGTTGGCAAAGCAAAGATCTTCTCCGGGCTTTTCGGATGCGCCGAGCACCACCTCATATCTCCCGACGAGATCAAGGACCCCAAGTGGCATTGATCAAGTTTGGGGCTTGGAGCGTCCGATGCGGAGCAGGATGGCCTGTTCCCAGGTAAGCCTATTTTTCCAGTTCACGACTAAAGCAAAATCAAGAGTGTTTCTCATGTACATAACACCCTGCAGGAGAAGCATCCTTTGGTCAACCTGGACGACTCTGGGATCTACGCAGGCACTCTTTAATTGGACAGCTAGCCCTGACGTTAGAGGTCAGATCATATGACAACCACATGGGATGCTAGAAGATCCCGTGAGAGACGCTTTGTGACTAGCAAAAGGCAATGACTGGAGGCATCGAACAGTCAGTGTGTGCCGCTGAGATCCGATGATCCCGGCAATTGTGAATTGGTCTGCGCACGCTTCCCTGCCTTGCAGGCATCTTCACGGAGGGCGATGGCCACATAGACCCCAGCAGCGTGACGAATGCCTTCGCAGACCGGGCGAAAGGACCGGCGAGGGGGTGGGACCGGAAACACGGTCAAACAGTTTTTCGTACAATTGTGTATGCATACACCTGGAGTACATGATGATGCATGCCAACCCCTTTTGCGGGAAGATTTGGTGAGTCGAGATATTCCACCACCTAAAAGCCTAAGCCCTATATGGAGCCAATAAAACCTTCTATATGTATGCACCTATATGCCATTATAAACCCTTACATAATCCCCTACATAACTTTTCGCCAAAAGATGAAACAGGCCTGGGCGGGATCATTGAGCAGAAGACCGAGGCGCAAATTACAAAAAAAATGGTAATGACAAGAGTGATTACTATCAATCCCTAAGGGTCCAAGGACCCACATAGTAGGGGTTAAGGGCCCAAATACCATTAATATCACATATTATTTGGGTCCTTTGACCCTCAGGGAATGATAAGAATTAGAAGCTTCATAGTACTGACACTCGAAATTACGTTGACTTGAGGGCGAATGTTGTACAGTGGATACTAACACTCCTGCAAGTACCTTGTGCCTTAGGAAATATGGTAAGGTATTATAGTGAGTTCATGCAAGACTTTCAGTATCAACAGTCTCGTTTCCATGGACCGTGGTGCAGAGTTGGATTGCTTTGTTGTTGTCTATGTTGTGCCTGTAGGGGTTGTGGGAAGGGTGGGTTCTGCGTTTGGGAAGGAAGGGCTGGCGAAGGCTGATTTGGTAGGCGTGTAAGGGAAGTCTGTCTGGGGGTTTCAAATTGGGGTACATTTTGGGGGTTCCCATATGTTGGGGTCCCTCTGTTTGTGGAAACTGCCGCCTTTGCAAGGACGTGAAAGCAACTTGCAGACCACATGCCTTTGGACATTTATTCTGAGTTTCTGGCTTATGGGCTGGAAGACTGAGATGCTGTCATTAATTATCTTGCCGGCAAGTGTTTAGTCGAAGCCCCATCATGCTATTGGATTGTGCCTCTAGGGTTTAAAAAGGGTGTTGGGTTGCGTTTGTAGATATCTATGACACCGCTGCAGTCATCCTAAAAGATCGCGTTTAGAGAATTGGCTGTCATCACAGCCACTTTGGCCCGGACAACTAGAGGCCTGAGCTACATCCGAAGCAATGGGAATATTACGCTCTAGACTACAGACATCTTGCAATCTAGAGTTGGAACCTGAACTCCCAAACTCAAGAGGCAAACCAGGCAGACCTTGAATCTGCAATTCCTAAACTTCTAAACGCCCCATCCTTAAACCCAATCTCTTCAGCTTCACGCAAAGGTGGTGGCTCTGAATCTGCTGCCCAGCAAGCAGTGGGAGGTCATCACACGGACGGCTGCAGGTCTGGGTCGAGTGTTTTTTGGTGGATCCCGGATATCCCGGGGGTATTCTAATTTTTGGGTTTATAGTGCCTGGGGTTTATGTGAGTAGGTCAAGACTTGAGTTGTTTGAGTTTTGGAGCAATTCCGGGTTGTTGCCGGCCGGGTGCGACCATGAAAAAGCGCAAGGCTCATCCACATACATGCCTTTGGGTGCTACATAGACATCTTACATCTTTCCGGTTCCATGTCAACTTGTATGCCAGCACATCTCTCAGTCAGCGCCAATCTCCACAGCAGCGTAGCTGAAGTTATGGTACAGGCATCAGTGGTGGCTGAAGCCCAAAAGGCGCATTGTGCTTTGGACGGTTGTTGACAAGTACTGTACTATAATTGATAAGCACAGGCTGATCTTAAAAGCTTGTCTCTATGCAAGTCCTGGAATCTCAATACCTAGTACAGCAAGAACTTGAGAAGTTCAAACTGCAGTATCCCTGTTACATTAACTTTTAAAACCTCTGCGAGGCGAGGAGAAGCGCACGGTCGCAGATTTTGTGATCAATGCAGCTGGCCTTTGGTGCAACTCTTCTGCTTATTAATTATTAGGGTGATGCAGGGGCAGGGTGTTTGCGGTTTAGGATTGCGGGGCTACACTTCAAATCTAGGGCCTCGTCATTGATCTGTCTTTTTCGGGTTGTATTTAAGAAGAGCTGGTTTGCTCAGCTAACCTGTGGAAGCCCGAATAAGCAGGATATGTCAGGATCATTATCCCCTTATGACCCCTGTCAAGTCATAGTACCCGATTCTCGCGATTGAGGCCTCCTGCATGAGGCTGGGGCACTTGTTCAGCTGTGTGTGGTTTCTGTCCCAGTCTTCAGCAGCACAGAATATTTACTACCGGACACGGCACTCCCCATGGGATTAGGATCCAAGTTAACGAAAGTGGAATCATGCTCCAGAGACCCAGAAAATTCAGCGGTTGCTACGCCCTGAACCCCAAGATCTAAAGTGCTCAAGCCCATCAGGGTTGTAATCTGAAGCGGGATAGTAGTGACGTCATTCCTGAGGGGGTCATCATGATCTAGGCAACTGACATGGGAGTCGTTAGTGTCTGTTGGTGCTGTGAGGTTTCATTAGTTGCTTTGATGCTTTCAGCGATTTTCTGGAAGTTCTTTAGCAGGCTGTCTCGTGATCTGCGAATGGGGAAGGCGGTGCATAAAAGGTTGACCCAGCAAAAGCCCACATACATCTTTTACTTTGAGCAGCCAAACTCACGTCCAAGCATGTAGGCCGCAGACTCTAAGATCTGAGGCGACAAGGTTGGGGCCATGGCCGGTGTTCGCGTACCATCTGTGGTGCTGCAGCACCAGCACCTTACCTGCGCGTTAAGCTAACTGGTTCTAAGGAGGGAATGGAGAAATGTTTATGTATAGATGTTATAGGGCTTATACAGGGATAGAACCCTGTATTCCCCGCCCAGAATTAATAAGTCAAGATGTATAGGTTGCAGGTAAAGACTTAGAACTTGGCAGTTGAAACCTGAATCACTTCAATCATTGTTCCTTCATGATCGTGATGTGAGTATAGTATATAGTAGCCCAAACCCAGTCAGAATGATATCACATAAACCCTTTTCACAGGTGTCCTTGATAAGCCTTGGCGGACGTGTTTTCAGGCTTGCGATGAAGATGGCTCAATAAATTGGGAGGAGCTTACAAATATCCCAATAGAAACCCGAATAGGGACCACCTTACGGTTTTACCCAGACTCTGGAGCGTCTTGTCTTGAGAAACCACCATTTGAGAGATTCTCCAAATAAATTCAATGTGCCAGTGGCTTTCCATCTAAGCCATAACTCTGCCAGTATCTTTCTATCTAAGCCTAAGGTCCCAAAAGGTTCCCGATTTCTGATGAAAGTCCCATATGAGCATGCTCTTCAAGGTACTGCATCACAGAGTCTATCCCGGAAGTGAAGGACCTTTGGTGAGTTTTTCTCGGGCTGTCACTGCTTTGGAGTTAGGGAAGAGCCTGAGGTGGGAATTCGCTTTCCAGTCATTAAACAAAGGGTCAAAGCCTCTGGTCTTTGTGGGGAGGTGGCCTCCGTGCCGATATTTGCCACCGCGATTTCAATGATCTTGCTTCGCCTGTAGGAGGCTCCATAGTTTTTTTAATGTAGATTATACATCATTGTACTGCACCTTGCACGGAAAGGATTGCAAGGAAATCATGTTCGTGGGTATTCAGGTTTCTGTATATTCTTGCCACTTGAGGTCATCCACAGGTATCCTCTTTGAGCGAAAATCCTGCACTCGGGGCCTGGCCCAACCACATACCAGATACCTGCCGGTGGTTAGCAAGGAACGAATGAATGCACCCTAGGGATCCTCTTTTTGAGTAGTACAGGACCACCATAGCAATCCATTTCATGGGCAAACGGAAACGACCTGACTCCACCTCACCCAGAAGGTTGATACAGACCATGGTACCAAACTGACTAAAGTTTGGCTTAAAGGGAAAGAATTTCTCCATTCCCTCCTAACCCTCAGTAAACATAAGCAATCCAGTAAGTATAAGCCATCCTGTGCTTTCTCTGGGCATCCTACGTGTGCAGGAGTATCACGACAAGCACGGCCACCAGTTGCCAGTGCTCCGGGATCTGAAGGGTTCCGAGTCGCATCCATCCCCAAAACCATAGGGATAATGAGAAAATGGAAACTACTAGATTATAATGGGGTGTATACATATTTATATATGTTGGGGATATGGTAGGGAATATGGGAAATCAGATATAGACAGTATATACGGGTTGTATCTTTTGATGTCTGTTTAGGCAGTTCCGGCTGAAGGCGCTCAATGTACAAGCAACATGGCTTACCCTGCTTGCTAGACCTGTTGTTGGGCAAGTGCTGGAAGAGGATTTCTGCGAATGTAACGATCCCATCTAAACGATGTGTCTAATTGCAGCCCTGGCTTCATCCAGAGAAGGTTTCGAAGGGTACAACTTCAGAGGATACCCAGACCCCCAGATTTACTTTAGTAGCTTTGTCAGGTCGTGAAGAGAACGTTTACACGGTTCAGAAAGGAGGTTAGTCACCTCCCCTGATTGGGAGACCCCCCCGTCCCCACCAAGTAATAAATAGTAGTAAATATGCCCATAGCATAAAATGGTACTATATTCGGGGTTGACTATTCGTGCGGTGGGGGGCGGGGTATAAGAGGTCTTGTTGTGTCAAGAGCCTAGGAGATGTCTGAAATCCGCGTGCCTCCCCCCCTTGCATGGAAAATGCCACCTTACTCTTGTCTATTTGCCTTTCTCCATTATTATTAGGGATAATATCCTTATACATCCTCTCTAAGATCCCTACGTAGCGCTATGTAACCCTTGTATAACCCATATGTAACTCGTACATAGTCCTGCTAGACCCATATATGATCAAGAAATCTGCGCTACCCACCGAGGTTCCTTCTACGTGCGCGATGAGCGCGACGGAATTCTGCATCTGGGACTCACTCTCCCGAAGGATGGTTCATAGATAACCGACTCTGAAAACGGATACCCCCACTACCCCTCAATAATGAACACCCCAATACAGTACCCCTATAAGATGGGGGCAGTTTCTTAAAAGGGGAGGTAGAGAGGTTTTTGTGAGGGGGAGGGCATGAGTTCTGGGTCCGGCAATGCGAGTGCTTGATCGAGAAGCTGTCATTGCCGACTGCCCTTTACCATCGGATTTCCTTAAGGATGCAAGAGGATACCGTGTCAGCACTGCTAACCTTCAGCCCATACCCACAAATCGAAACCTAAATCCATATACCTGATATCCTGCGTAAACATTACACGCCTTACACTTTCCAGTATCCCTAAACCCTCAACCCTTTCCTTTATAAGCCTAAACACTCTGTAGTATCGAGATCGTCTCAGGCTCGGCCCCTACGAGTACTCAGAGGCCATGCAGCTGGCACCTGCGGAGTGGCGGCAGACGGGTATGCCCAATGAGCCCAAACCTCAGAGTTTACTCAGAGGTACTGTATGGCCCCCAACAGTGTAGAGAACTCAGGGTAGGGGCTTACGGGTTTAGATGTTCTGCCCAACGAGCCCCCGTCTGAGAGGAGTTTCTTGGTACTATCTAGTTCCCTAAGCAGGGTAGCATCGTAGACTTTACTCGGTTGTAGGATGTTCTGTCCAATGAGTTGAAGCCTGAGCCCTATCTGGTGGCTAGCAGGAAATGCGCAACTTAACATCCACTTGTATGATTACACATTGTCTAAGGTTTACAGGGCAGGTATATTTAGCAATGTCTAAGCTTTAGCTTCCAGCCTTATTGTCAGGCACTCTTTTCAGACACCCCGAACCGAGGGCCCTATTCCCTATTTGGATTGCAAAGGGCACATTTTGAGAAATGTGCATGTGGGTAGCTGATAGCGCTTTCTTCCATCAAATTGAAGGCTGAATGTAGCGTTCGTCGTGATAGTGGAATATGATCCTCAATATGTGCTTGCTACCAGAAACCGATGTACCACTCCATGGACTGTAGCGCGAAGCTGCAGTTTTCTACAGGGGTGGGAGGGTGTGCTGCATACGGTCTAACTTTGCAGAAGCCCCACGGAGTTCTTCTACGACATAGCCGAGCCCTGGGTCATCAAGCTCAACCAATCATACGGCCCGGTGCTGTGCGATAAGGCCGTGGCATGCCCTCCATATAGGCTATAGTCTAAACTCCTTAAAGAGGGTTAGTACTACTATAATGGTTATAAAGGGGGATACCAGGAGTTTAGACAATGGCTCATATGTCAGGCCTGAACAAAGGGTGCTGACCCTCACCAACCTACCCTTCCGCCACTTCGCTGCTGAAAAACTGTACATGAGAAGGTATAGCAACTTCCTTTTCGAGGGAGACGTGGAGCGTTTGATGCCACACTTAGCACCTGGGCAGTGACTTTTCATGAGATATTGGGTCTCCCCGGCTCCCCATCTACATGGGAGCTCATCACAACAACACAGGAAGTCCAAATCGTCCAGCAACGCTTAGGGTTTATGCAACATTTCTATGGGGTCAGGTAGGGATTATTTTGGGCTTACATATTACCCCAATCAGGGAACATGAAATGAATAAGAAAGTAGACAAATCAAATTGAAGCTACCAGTTGCGACCCCAGGCTGACCTAAACCCTAAACCCTAAATATGTAGGGGTTATATGGGGGTTCTATAGGGATTATAGGGTACATATTGGGGTTAATGGAGAATCAAATGGAAAAGAACATGGAAAATGAAATGGAAGCTATATGGAAACTAGGGAATATAGTATATATTGGGGTTATATTATTGGGGTTATTTAGGGATAATGGAAAAGAAGCGGGAAACTATAGGGATTACATGGTATATGTTGGTGTAAAGCTAACCATTGGGCCAGCTGCTTCCGCTTGTCACAAGGGTAATGTTGAAGGTTTATATAGGGGTTATACAGGCTTGTAGAGGTTGAGGATTTAGGGTTATATAGGCTAATGCGTGTTATACAAGCCCTAGTAAGTATTGTTGTGATTGCTCCTTTTGTAATGATCATTATTCTGCAGGGATTCTTGATTGTGGGGCCGGTAACAGGGATGCCAGTCAGCGAATGTCCATGCATCCAACCGCTTCATCACACCATCGGAAGTTTAGCAGGCTCGAGAGAAACAAGACAAGAGGCGATACCTGGAAGTGCCAGTGACCCAAAGTAATGGGATACCTGAAGCCAAAGTCGTAGTAAATTGGAGGAAAGTAGGTTGTGGTGATATGCTCTTGGTTTTCTTCGTGTCCCTAAGACCTAGATATCCTTGTGTATTCTTATATAACTGCAACACGCTCCCCATGTAAGCATATTTCTCCCCAAGCCCTATCAACTTGAAACCCCTAAACCCTATAAACCCTCAACCCTATAAACCTTAAACCCGTAAACGCTAATCCCCTGAAGCCTCGTAACCCTAGACTCTACAAGCCCTATACCCCAAACCCTGTGAACCCTTAAGCCCGTATATTCCCCCTACAGTAGATGCTCTTGGAGCCATTGGTTAGCTACGAATGAAGGAATGGATCCTTATAGTAGTTCCTATATAACCCATTATGGTAGTTTCCATGTTCTTTCCATTCCAACCCTAAGCCCTAAACCCTAAACCCTATATAACCCCATTATAGTAGTTTCCATGTTCTTTTCCATTCCTCCATTCCCAGCCCACCAACTGCCAGTCTTGGAGCAGCCAAGGAAAGAGCCATGGAGATCCTTCCGCAGTTCGGGGAAGTAGGCCTTTTAGGGTTTTAGGGTTTTAGGGTTTAAGGTTTTGGGGTTTTAGGGTTTCTGCTTGGAGTTTGAAATTTTAGGGGTTTTAGGATTTTAGGCTTTTAGGGTTTAGGACTCAGAGTGAATGGTTCAGGGTTCAGAGTTGAGGGTTGGTTGCGAAGATATAGTGAGTAAGTAGCGTCCCCTTATACCTTTCAAGGGTATATAGGGGTTTATCAGGGGGGTATACTGTACAGGGATATATGGGGTATAGGGCAGGGAAAAGTAGAGTCAAATGGAAATGAATTTGGAAGGTGAACTGGAAGCGGGAGTATATAGAGGTTATAAGTGTTGAAAGAGGCTGCAACCTGGGGTTTCCAGAGCAAGCGGCTATACCCCTTAAATACCCCGATGTATAATATACCAGTATACCATAGTCACTATAGCTAAAGGACCCTAAGAAGGATGTTTGCAGACAGAGGGTCCAAGTACACGAGAAATATGTTATGTACCCGGCATTTGGGTAAAAGTACTTGTCCTGCAGCTTTGGGAAGTATATGATTATTGAGTACTTGGAACCTCATTCTTTGGTAGCAAGTGAGGCCGCAAGAACCAGTAGCAGGCGCAGGTGCAGCCGTATGATGACTGCTGCAAGAGCCATGCGAGCAATTTCGCCTGTTATTGTTATTTCGATTTGCAGCACCCATGTGTTACTTGCTGTAAGATTGCAAGCCTACGCGCCGCGGATAGGCGAGGACCTTGGGGAGTTTTAAAGCATGGTATGTGATCAGTGTCACACATTGCTTCAAGCAGAGCCCAGCCAGACTACATCTAGGCCTTCCGCATTTAAAACTTAGACACGCTCAAACGGGACATCGTAGCTCTTGTCCTGTTTTCCCTGCTTTGCGCCTGGGTGGCACTGGCAGGCATGAAGACCGTGCTGAATGGGCCCACCATGTGGCCTGCGGATGGAAACCACCTCGTTGGACCAGCCCCCGAAGCCAGGGCGCAAGCAGGCTCCCATGTGGGAGCTTCTCGAAATGTTGGGTTGTCTTTGGGGGACCCAAGAAAAAGTTCATCTAACTCTTGGGGAGGTACAGTTTCTGTTTTGCAACAATCACGGTAAGTTGCTGTACAGCTTTATGGCAAGAGTACTATGCCAAACCGATCAAGAGCATTGTCAGTGATGACTGCAGCAAGGGCCCACGAAGCATAGCGAGACAGGGGCTCCTGTCTTGTTTGGGTTGGGGATTGCGGGCAATGCGGGGGTAACGACTCAAGGTATGAAGTCAACTGTTTGCTGTGAACCTGGCGAGCAGGGTTGTGAACCATGCTGTGTACACATATCCTGCATTCTCTGCATCATAAATGAATTGCAGCACCACTGCGGATCCTTCCACTTAGCTTCAGCTTCCATATTTCATGGACCTCCAATTAAGTGACTTCCTGCCATGCGTTTTCCCGAGTCAAAGGTGTATTCTTAGTGTGGTCTACACCCGAGTACCCCTACACGCTACTATAAATGCTGAGCCTTACGCCCTTAACCACAAAATTTCCATGTCCCTACGCTCAGGAGTGGGACGTGGCGCCTAACTTCTGGTTGGCATGCGCGGAGCACGGGGCTTGGTTCTGGGCCCTGTCTACGGGACCCAGTTTAGGACATGAGGATGGTAGATGGTGCCCAAAGCCCGAATGCCCCCTAGGTGGCAAAGAGCAGCGGACATGTGCTTGCCACGAGCATTTTGCACGAGGATGCCAACCGCATGGCGAGGTACCTGTCCCAGTAGTGTATGAACCATCCCAGATCATACTGGGCAAAGGCGTTGAAGTTGGTAGGCGAGCAGCACATACAAATCATCACGAAAGGCAAATGTATCCTAGAATCGGTCCCTTTCCGACCTCCTTGCTGGTTAGGTTCTGTCGGTCAGCATGTCTTCAGGTCCATATTGAGCCACGCACAGTCCCCTTAAGCCATCTTAATCCTTCTACAACCCAAACCCAGAATCCAAACGCTGTATCTATGCTAAAATCCCCCAACCCGTGCCCTAAGCTCTGTAAACCTTGGGCCTTCAAAGGTAAGCCGCCAAGCCACGGCTGATCTAGGGTGGGGGATTCTCAAATGACCTTCTAGAACCCTTGCGTGGGAGCCTTCAAGCCTCATATTTCCCATAGCATCCCGAACCGCAACTAGGGTTTTGGGTTTTAGAGTTTAAGGTTGTAGGGGTTTATGGGTTTAGGGTTCAGGGTAAAACCACCAACTGTTCCCGTAACTGCCAGGTCTTACGGCATTGCCCACAGCGCCGGCCTTAGCCGCTACCTTGCCGAGTGGATCGCCCACGGCGAGCCGCTCTTTGCCTGCAATGAACTCTATCTTATTGGGGGAGGGGGGGGGGGGTAGTAGGGAATAAGGGAATCTATTATGGTGTTTTGGTTTTAGGGTTAGTAGGTAGGGAATAAGGGTATAAGTTTTTGGGGTTATACAGGAATCATATTCCCTTACTCCCTACTAACCTCCAGGAGGTTAAGGGCTTATGGGGCATGGGCATGTTCAAGCTATGGGGGCTACATACGCAAAATGAGTCGGGAATGAGAGAATGGGTTCCAGGGACTGTTTTGTGTGGTTTAGGGTTGATGTGACAGGTTTAGGGATGTACAGTCTAGTAGTGTAACTGATACATCTGATAAAGTACGGCTACAAATCTACATGGACATGTCTTGTAGGGATGGGCTGAGCCTTTAAAATCCCTTCTAGAATTGCCATTGCCCACACCACAATTTCCTATTATCCCTTGGGCCCGGAGGGTACTGAGATTGAGCCCGTTTTGCCGACAACACCGAACCTGAAGCTTTGACCCCTGACCCTTGACCCCTGAACCCTCATCCCCATAAGCCCTGTAAGTGGAAGGTTGGAACTATGGGCCCCAGTATCGGCCCTTAATCCTAGGTTACCCTGAACCCAATCAGGGGCCTATAGTAAGGACCCAGGAAACACATAGGGGCCCATGTTAAGTGTCCATAGTTAGGACCTTAGATATATTCCCAATCACCAGGCATGCCGCACCAGAAGTCACGGGGGAATGTCCGCCTTTTGGAAACCCTAAACCCTAAACCCCTAAACCCTAAAGCCCTAGAAACCACCATCTATCCCTTTGATGGGCGAAAGTCCCAAGAATGGCTGAGGCCTTACGAGCTGAAGGAGGCAGACCCTGCCAGGCACGGCGTGGGTGTACGGTTTAGTGCTGAGGGCTTATAGGTTAGGAGGACCCCCCACCCTGTAATAGTGGCATAGTAGGAATGTAGTAGGACCTTAATATAATCCTTATTATCCCTTATAGTCACTATAACAGGGTGGGGGGTCCACCTAACTTATAGGTTTAGAGTTTAGGGGCCAGACCTCCCAAATATCCGCATGGCCCATACAGCCGCCATGGGAGATGCTCAAGGCTATGTTTATCAGTATATGGAAGGTTCAGGGTGGGGTTTGGGCACCAGCGTTTAGTTGTGTGGGCTGTAAGGTTTTAGGGCACAGGGTACCTGTTGCGCAGGGTTTAGGACCTCCAGACAGTTTCTTGGCAGGTTGTTGGGCCTTAAAGACCTGACCTATCTAGCAGATGCAGCCCTCAACCGCTATAGCGGTACTATCCGGAGGTATGGTGCTCAGGAAACCGAGTTTTGACCTTTTCATAGGACAATATGTCATGCCTTTTGAGCAATCAGAACCCTAAACCATCTCTAGGGCTATCAACAGACATACTGGTAATGTAGAAGCCCGATAATCTACAAATCCTTACATACTTTCGCAAGAGTGTAACCCAACACACCAGTCTAAGAACCTAGGCACCTAATTATATCACCTCTTCTCCTCAAAGCTTTGAGGCGATTCCATATAGCGGCTTTGGGTTGCTTGGCACCTGGAACAAGCCCTCTGCATCCCAAGCGGTTAATCTTGTAGTCCTCTGCGCCATCTACTCTGGATCAATTGTTTTAACAAGCTGTTGCAGCACACTCATACCCAAGAAGGACTTCAGACCTGAACTATCAACACCTAAACCATGAAACCTGAAAACTTAAAACCCTGAACATCTAAAACCCAAATCTCTAAGCCTTTATCCCAACAAGAAGCCGGTACTGCAATAGGTATGGAGCCTGGGCGACCAAGGATTGGGTGGCAACCAAGGCTTGGTTGGTTGGATCCCTCTTAGGTGTTTTAGGGCTTAGGGATAAGGGCTTAGGGTTTCAGGGTTTGGGTGGGTTTGAGGGGTTGTTGGGGTTTGGGTGTTGAGGATTCGGGGTTTAGGGTGTGTCGAGCTTATAGGGTTTGCGGTTTGTTGGGGTTTCGGGTTGGATAGGCCCCTGGCCGCGTGACCGTTCCCCAATAACGTGAGTAGTACTCTTATACCTGTGAGAGGGCCTTGTTATTGACTGTCGTTGTGGGGGGGAGATGAAGTTTAGGGGTTCAACAGACTTTGACTTTAGGGCGGTATTTGTGGTGCACCTATGGAAGTATTCTGGGGTTCAGACGAATGTTAACTTTTGTCAACTTGTTATTCTTGGGTCCCCTTTTTGGGGGTCACGATTCGCCGAGGTCTACAGTCGGGCCTAAGGCAAGTGTCCATCAGAGTCGAGAAAGGATACTTTGTGCCTAAGGTTCAAGGCTGTCATTGGGACCGCAAGGATCTACCGGGATAACCGCCCATTGCCTTGAACGTTGCATCCTCGTCCTGCGACGCCTCTTTTTGCTTACACCCCCTCCACCGCTTCCACCACTTCCACCTGAAGCAGCAACCCTGAGATCAGACTTGCCAAGATACTATGCTCTCTCCTTGGTCCCATGTTTCCAGTATTCGATGCGGCGAGCGCGGCGCCGTGCAAGTCCTGCTGCATATACCTTGTTCGCTTTCCTTTTAGCTGATATGGTACCCGGAGTGTCCTATGCCAACAAACTATCCAACCTGAATGTACGATTTTTTTTCTCATCCCAAACTTGGAGATCCCGGGCGGAAGGTTTAGGATTTTGGGGGTTCCAAGGTTAAGGGGGTTTGCTGCATGCCCCAGCCACCCAACAGCCTTCTCCTCAGACCCAAAACCCTAAATCACTAGCCTTACATCTTCAATATTTTTTTGCAGCTTCCGGAGTCCTCTAAGCCCAACAGCACACAATTTAGGCCTGCGCTCCCATGGCCTCTAGGACTGAGGGATTCGCTGATGGCATTCCTTGGATAAGGTTGGGACCCAGGCTTCTGGGAGCTCTTACAGGGGACCTACATCGAAAGTTGTGTAGAGGGAGCAGGTTCTATTCAGTTTGCGGTCCAAGTTGCGGCCCTTTGGCTCTGGAGGTTCGGGAGACCTACGGCATGAACAACCACGTGCACTTTCCCAACGAGAACCTCCTGGGAGCCAGGCCCGCCAGCAGATGAGCGCGAAGGGGCATATGATTTGCCCAAGGAATTCTCTGATATGTGTTGAACATAGCAACATATTGGGTTCCTTTGGGTCTATGTTTGGTAGTAAGGGGTTCCTCAATGAGGGAAGGGTTGTGGGGGCGGGAAGTGCATGGTTGTTGTGTTCACTCTTTAATTGAGTGCGTGAGTGAATTTAATTAATTTCGTTTCTCTTCATTTATTAAATTCATTCACTTTCTCTAATTAATTGAGTGAAGGAAACAACTAATGAAAGGATCTCTACAACAAATAGAAATATAACTAGAAGAAAAACAGGTCACAAGAACTCATTTTAATCGAGATTTATT